ACGTCACGGTCCTTGATTTTATTCTATTCATAAAGGGCTTTTGAACTGCTCTTAGTCTGATCCGTCACCCGGGTGATGGGTGCATAAAAATAAAACAATGAAATATGGCAAAATTTAAGTAAGTTGCTCACAATGCTAAAGTCAATTACCGGCACCTCAGAATGGTACACATCAGGCTCCAGTGAATAAGATGCCATGTTTTTAAAAAGCATAAAACAGATTTAAAAGTTTCTTCTGTTCTTCTTCTAGGGCAGGATGTTATCATCAGGTTCTGTGCTCACTGAGTGTTTTTCTCCTCCAGCTGGTGGAAAATGAGGAGCAGTTTCAGCAGAGCTTAGCTGATGCTCTGGTGGAGGAGAGCAGTGTCATTGTCAATGTGTAAGTACTGCATCCTCGGGTAAACTGCTGAAGTCATCTGTCTGACACAGCAAATTGTCATGATGCACTCACCTGGAGACACTATCTGCTACTCATTTTTTATATAATTTTTAAATATGTCTGTTTAACTAATGCAACTGTACCAGAGTATCTACTAAAAACTGAGTTTTTATCAAAATCTTGGCGAACAAACTGATTTAGATTTAACAAAACATTTTGCATACTTTTAAGGTTTAATGCAAGACTTGCACTGCCTTCACAGTATATCTGACTTTTCTTAATTATCAGTTTCCCACTGCCAAATTACGGTTATGTTAAAATACAAGCTGGAATTATGAATCAGGAAACACATTTTTCTGAAAGCTTCACTATCCCACTTGGTACTTGCATGTAATATAATGTTCATACCAAGCATTGGAATGCTGTAAAAAATAAAAAGCACCCAGTGAGCTACAGTTTTATGAAAGTAGATTGACTAAAGTAGCAGAAGACCACTCCAGGTTCTACTCTTGTCAACTAAGAACAGGAAACTGAGGCTACAGTGAGCACGGATTGACAAAATTGAGCAATGCAAAATGGGAAAAATGTTCTAACAAATCTTGCTTTCTGCTGCCACATGCTGATGGTGGGGTTAGAAATTAGCTTATCACCATCAATCCATGGATCCATCCTTCTTTGTGTCATCCAGTCATGCTACTAGCAGTTTAATGCTAATGGGGATATTTTCCTGACACACATTAGGACATCTAATACCAGATGAGCATGATTTAAATGTCAAAGCCAACCTGAGCTATATTTGCTGACCATATTCATGCCTTTATGGCCACAGTCTGTCCATCTAATAAATGGCTACTTTCACCTGAATAACGTGCTATGTACAGAAGCACGTCATGTCAAGCAGTTCCACAAATATTACAATCGGCTCATTCCACTTCAGTGGCCTCCCCACTCATTACATCTCAGTCCAACAGAGCTGAGGGTGTGGTGGAACAGGGGATTTGTAGCATGAATGTGCAGATGACAGCTCTGCAGCAAGTGCGATGTGATCATGTCAACATGGACCGGGATCTCTAAGGAAAGTTCCCAACACCTTGTTGAATCCATGCCAGGAAGAATTCAGGCTATTCTAGAAGCAAAGGGGAGGTCGTACTCAGTTTTAGAAAGATGTACCTAATAAAATGGCCACTGACCGTAAATAATATTATTTGCACACTTCATTTACAACTCACAAACACTGGAAAATCTTTCCCATCTCTAACACTCGTCCCCATTGAGAGTAGCATAGCATAGCATTACCCCCCTCTCTTTGCTACATATCGGTATCAGTGAGCGTATTCATCCTGACAACAATCACCATTATTTGTACCTACAGGAGACTTGCCAAGAGTCTCCCTGTGCCCACAGAGAACGAGACCAGTCGTCCAAGAATCGACCTGGTGGTGTTCATCATCAATCTGACCTCAGAGCTCAGGTAACACTCACATCCTCAAATCCTATTCATGTTAAATTTCTCACCAGTGTACCTTTCCTGGTCGCTTGAGGACACAGGTAAAGTATCTGCTCTGTATTGTAGTGCTTGTGTATTGTACTGCTTGAGTTAAACACGCCTCCCACAGCTGTGTGACTGGTACCAAGAAGCAAATTTTTCTTTCTAATGAACTGGAAGATTGATTTTATCATTATATAGAAAAGAGCTACTAATTTCTGTTGTGTGGTTTGGTCTACACTTTGTATGTTGTGTCAGTTACAGGTATGGGTGATGTGATTTAATAGTTCATTCTTCTTCTTTTCACAGTTTTGAGTCAGCAGAAGCTTCCCTGAAATATTTGGACTGTGGATACTTTCTTGGAAAAGTGTGCTTCTTGGTCACTAATGGTATGTAATGGGGGGTGCGGCTGTGGAGGTAGAGCGGGTCGTTTCCTAACCAGAGGATTAGCAGTTCGATTCCCGACTTGTCCAGTCAACATGTCGAGGTGTCCTTGAGCAAGACACTGAACCCCCAGTTGTTCCCAGTGATGTCACCGGTGTGTGAATGTGTGAGCGCTTGGGAGTGTGAATGGGTGAATGGCCGAATAATGTGAAAGCGCTTTGAGTGTGCTGTAAAAGCATAGAAAGGCGCTATACAAGTATAAGACCATTTACCATTTAAATCCTTTCAGGTATTCGTTGGCACGCTGCCTGCTTGAATTGCATGAAGGAGGACTAAATGAGAGCAAAAGGATGAAATGGAGCATCTTAAGATTAATCATTTTTCACAATGTATATACCTCATCCATTCCTGTGTTGTTAAGTCGTAGTTCATCTTTTTTCCATGTCTTTTTTAGGCTACATTCATATTACAGGTGTTAATATTCAGTTCAGTCTGTTTGTCAGATCTGATCTTTTTGTGACAATGGTTCACATTCATGTTTGTAATTGATGCGTATCTGGCTCCAATTTGAACACCACTGACATATTAAACCGACACTAATGCACAGTTTTAAAGGACACGTAAGTCACGTGCTTACAAGCATAACAACAATAGCGTAATCTGTGCACAGTGTCCTCAAAAACAGCTCGGTTATGACACCTTCATTCTAGTTTGCAACCTCGACTTTCCACTGATGCGTGTCCCTGTTGTTGCTCTCTGATGTTTATTTTTACTGGTCTCTGCGGGGCCGATGCTGAATGATGACGACAGGCTATATGTGCAGAGGAGTGAGACTAGGAAAGACTCAAATCTAGGAGCAGGATTCAGATCTGATTCCAAAAAATCTGATTTGGCTTGTTCACACATCCACAAAAAAATAAATATCGGAGTCACTTGTGCTATGTACATGTTACCTGCTGAAGTGGCTCATCTTTTTTTATCCTTCATGTGGCTCAGATCTGATGTTTTCAGGGATGTGTGACCTCTGACCTTGAGTGTGGAAATGAGCCCAAGAAGACCCCCCGGTACCCGAGGGCTCGGGCTGTGGTTCAAACTGAAATTTATAAATTTTGTTCTAGTCGGGTTCAAAGATGGCTGGAGCATTCAATGTCTTCTTCGTTTAATGATAAGAATAAAAACGCCGTACAAACTCAGCTGTGTTGGGCTCAGGTTGGGTTTGAACATTATAAACTATAAGCTTGTCAGGTTTTGATACCACACTCTCTGGCACGGGTTGGGTTCTGACAGAAATATACAGCCCCATCCCTGCTCTAGGTCAGAGTTCATGCGGTTTTATCAGTGTCTCACTCTTCTGCACATTCGCATATTGTGATCATCATTCAATGTCAGCCCCTCACAGACCAGTAAAAATAAACATTGAGGAGAGCAGCAACATGTACAGGGTCAGTAGAGAGATGGGGACATTTTACTTTTGTTTAACATTTATGTAGCTTCTGATCACACCAAACTGGAAGGAACATATTGTAACAGTGTTTTTTCAGGGATTTGAGCAATTAGACCTTCGCACAAACAATGCTGCTGTTATTGTTGTATGCATGTAACTCAACTTTCAGTTAAATCTGCACGTGTGGCAGTTTTGGACCTTGACAGTGTTCACACTGGAGCCGGATACATGTCTCTTACCAACATGAATCTGAACCATCCACACAAAAAGATAAAGATAAGACTTGAGCATCAAGGCCTGTAATGTGAACAGAGCTTTCTTCTTCTGTCTCCTGTAGCTCGTAGCGTTTCAGTCCCCGCTGAGCGTCTGGATGCTGTCAGAAAGCTGGCTGCTTTGTTTCACTGCCCCCTGCTGTTTGTAGAGGATCAGGTTTGTATCTGCTTTTGTCACAACCATGAAGTAGGCTTGACACTCCATTCCTTCAGTCCTGCAATAAATCCTCCCTTTATGAAGGTGCTAATGTTCTTCTTTTGTTCAAACTATTTAGAGGTTGATTCAACTGTATGATCAGATTTAAAGCTATGATTTGCAGTGCTGTTGAGATGTATTGAGTTACACTCTATTATTGTATTGTGTTATTTTGCCTACCCCATTTATATCAATGAGGGTTGGCTAAATAAAAAAACCTCTGTATAATGCAGCACAGTTCAACAGCAGCACAGAGTACATTAGTATGGGTTGTGGGAAGACATGTACCTACAAGATGAAAGTGCCATTGTGTATATAGGGGATTGTGAATGCAGGTGGCTGTTCAATCCTCCTTTTTTCCTTTGTGGCTTTTCACTCAATGCCATCAGGCAAACAGTCACTAACTACAGTAGTTTGGAAGATTGTTGGTTTGTAATGGGCACGTTTTAGTAAAGTACCTAAATGAATCATTTTACATTGGTTAATCCACCCATTCATTTTCTTCCTCTTCTCTGGATCAGGTCCCATCAATTATATTAGTAATGCCCTTAGAAATTAGTGTTATATACTGCTGGAAAGTACTGAAAAAAGAGTCACATGAAAAAACAATTGTAGGTCATAGCACGCCTACTAGATTTCTCTAATATTTTCATAGTTTGGCCATTTTGATCATGAAAACTAAATTTTTCTGATGATCTCAAATTCGATTTGTGCTTATTGATTGTGTAGCTCAGTGTTTCTGCAGTTTGGGGTTTCTGTGCTGCTTTTGACAACAGAGCACAAAATGTCTCTATAGTGCATTTTCCTGTTAGTTTCAAAGCAGTCCTGTATAATGTTCCTCCCCTGCAGACAGCAGACGGTGTGGCCAGTGCTGCAGAGAGGTTACTGACCATCCTGAAGGTGGCGGCCGGACATGTTCCCATAACGACATCTCTCTACATGTCCATCCTGGCCCAGTGCACCGTGCCCCCAGACATTGACCAGCCGAGCTTTGACTAGTTCCTTTGAATGATTTCTTGACTTTATTGTGTGTATATATATATATATATGCATTTATTGCTTTAACAGGTGATGTGTAGCCATGATGTTTCATTTTAATTATTTTACATTACATGTTAGTGATTTAACTTTTGGCAGCTGCACTTTCTGTTTGCACCTTACAGTAGTGTTCCTTGTGTGTTTTTATTTTTGTGCATATTAATAGAACGGGTCACTATTTGTGAAGTCCACATTCAAAATAATATCTATTATACTATAACTGAGGTCCATATAAACGTGACTGTAAGGTAAATTTAGTAAAGGCAGATGCACCATAAACATGGCCATGAACAATCCTGCCTCTGTATATGTTAATTAACTAATTAATTATTGTTGGATGCAGGATTGTGTAAGAATGTACAGTCCTGGGCAGATTACAGCTTGATCTTTCTTAGTAGAAAAGGGATCTGGTGACATGACGTAGTTTCCAGCCGGCCTTCCCCTAAGCCGAGGTCTAATCAGCCAGATTGAAAACACCAGTCTGAGTTTGCAGGGTCTTAAAATGAAACGGTGCTATGATATCAACGTGATGCTGTACAGCATTCTTCAAAACTGCAATTTGTTTTCTGCTTTGAAGAGTGAATAATTATAATGCATAGTTTGATTTCTACACCATGTACTCTGTGTTTTTCTGGTTTCAGACATTTGAACTGTCTGGAATGCTTTTATCAGCAAAGCTTAGTGTCAGTACAATAAAATAAAATACATCTATTATGAGTAAAACATGTCTGAACATTATCTTAGTGTATTTTTGTTAAAAAAAATGTTGGCATGGATCCTGCCAGGTATTTTAAAGTACATTTCTGATGAACTGCTTCTAGATGCAAAGCTGAACTCTTAGAAAGAAACTCAGCAAGGACATTTCAAAATGATGGTTTATCTAATTTCAGATAACCAATGTTTATGGTCTATATTTATTATTCTAAAACCTGCATCTGAAAAACAACTGCTACCGCCATATGCATCACAATTATGGAAGCAAATAACGATGGGGCCACATGAATCTAATAAGCAACTGGATACCTAAGTGTGATCGTTAATCACCACTGAATTGTTGGTGTTGAATTTTTAGCACTGAAGGTGTTTTACTATAAAAAACAAATCTGAAAAATCCTTTTGAAGCTGGTAATTTAAAATTTTGCAAACCTGAAAACTGCTCAAATTCTGTACCCTCAGATCTAAAACTTGCTGCATGGTGTCCTAGATGGTCTGATCTGAATGTTGTATCTTTTTTGTCTTTTAAGTTTTTCAGTTTGAACCGAGTTAGTTGAATTTGAGTAATAGAAAATGTTTTTTGATTAGTTAGTTTATTTGAATTGAACCCTAAAAGTCCTGGAAATAAATTTGCTGAAGTTGCACAATAAAAGGAGGAGTTCAGACCACACACTTCCAGATAGATGGTTTTCAAAGTTAAACATTTTAGTGCTATAAAATCTGTGGCAATTAATTTCCAACATTAAGAATCCATTTGTGATTAAATTAGATATTTAAATGCCTATAAAAATTCAGATCACTCTGGTTAATACTCACTTCCACATGATAATTATTTGAGTTTTTGTAGAACACATGACAGTTGAACATGGTTCATTACTTTCAACAAGTTGCATTGTTGCATGGAGATTTTTCTTACATTTACCATACTATGACGTTTAGTTTGATATCAGACGTACAGTATACTGCTTATGCTACACTATCAACCAGTTTGACCTCAGCTCAGTCAACAGTTGTGCAAACGTCAGAGGGAGAAAGAGTGGGGGGAGGCAGAGTTGTGACCAGAGATGCTGTGCCTTGTGTCACGTCTGCACTAAAGTACGCGCACACACACACACAATGGTGCTATGGAATCAAGTCAGAAAAGACAACAGGGAGTCAGGGGGACCTGGAAATGTTAATGATACACTGTTGGCTCTTTTACTTATTTAAATCATGGTAAACACTTGACTGGCAAAACAAATGACTGCTTTCCACGTAATGAGTCAAACAGTATGATCATTGTAGCAGCAAGTCATGGGAAGCTTGCTCAGGGTGTTTTATTGAAGTTCAAAGTCTAAGGACAAAACATTTACTGTGAGTTACTTCTAATGTGCCATTTATACGATTTGTTTGATCATTTATGCGGTTTTGTGACCTTTACAATCAACCCAGCAGTTATGGCAAGTAAAGGTCAGACCTTTGAATAAGATGGCATTATCATTGGCATTATCATCTTCACCTGTTGTCTGCATTGCTATTCTAGTCAAGAATTAGCCCTAAGCCATTCCTCTGCCTAGCAGGAGGTACAACCACAGTGGCATAAATTACATCTAGAGTTGAAACAGTGGATTAATAGTTGGTTAATTTTCAAAAAGGATACACGCGCCAATTGCCAAGCAACCAGACTAAGAATCTACAGCTGTATTTTAGCAAAAAGGTGCTTAGCTAAATACATCAGAATGCTAACATGCTTAGAAGGCATGGCATTTACCATTTTCACTGAGTTTAGCGCGTTAGCATGCTAACAGCACAAACTGAAGGAATGTCATTGGTTTTTCAGGTATGTGTTGATGGTGCTAGATGAAATGTCATGGCATCATGAATGTTTAGTTTTATTACGATTATATTAGTTGATATATTTCAGTTTTTAAAAGGTCAGCCTGGTGATGGTTCTAAAATAGGCCTAGTCAGGGAATCATTAAAATTATTAGGATTCATCATCTGGGAACCATGAGTGTGTGTGCAAATTTGTTTGTCAATCTGTCAAGCTATATGTTGAGATATTTCACTGAATAGTAATGAAAAATTTGACCTGTTGATGACTCTACAAGAGAAATCTGGATCATCAAGGTTTTTAGGATTTATCCTCTGGGAAGCACAGATATCTGTAGCTATTGTCATTTGAGTTCTTCCTATAGTTGTCAAGCTGTTGCACTCTGAATTGCAAATGTCAACCTTATGTTGGAGCTAGACGAAAGGCAGGGGATTGCCTGAGTCTTTAGCATTCATTGTCTGGTGGCCATGAATGTCTGTCCCAGATTTCATGGCAATCCATCAGACAGCTGTCGAGATATTTCTGTCTGGACCAAAGCAATGGTCCAAGCTGATACTGCCAGTCTGCAACTGTGGCTAAAAATACATCTTCTGCTTCCAGTCTCTAAGATGTGTGTCTTTGCATGTTTTTTTTTTCTTTAACAATAAGGTAATATCTTTGAATTTTATCAGTTAAAACAGTTTGACACATCAAATACCATTGAATACTTCCACCTCTCCAGCCCTCCAATACTCACCCAGATGGAACGGTATGTAAAGAAGAAATGTCTGTCTGATTCATATAGTCATGACTTTGCTTTAGGGGTCACAAGTATACTGTAGCTTAAGCTCATGGCTTCATATAGGATTGTAATATGACCAAATAGATGACAAGCTAAGCTGAGATTTAATTAAGGAATCATTCCAGACCCATGCAGCTGAAGCAGGATTGACAAAAGCTTTAATGGTGGCACTGAAGCAATTTAAGGGCTAGAATTGAGACTCAGGGTTCACTCTGGGTTCGAGCAGGTTTGTCAGTTTACAGTAGTGATAAAGTCCCTAAAATGGCTGCTATGAAAGAGACTAAGTACTGGCTGCTCTGCACTGTCACGTCCACATGAATCATGTGGCTGAGAATAGAAGGAGCTGCAGACAGATGAACATGAGGGGTTTGCACAGCATGAGGTGACATTGCTGTGCATGACGCATTCAAGTGGAGGGTTTTACTAAACACATGACTGTGTGTATTTGCTTGCTAGACCGTGTACAGCATGTGCATGTGTGTGCTCAAATACTTGATGTGAAGAGTTATAATGTTGACCTGATTATTGTCTGGGCTGTTTGACTCTGATAATGTGCTGCACTGATTTTATTATTTGTAAACCATGACCGGCATTTAGTGAAACAGATTTACAATGCCAGTCACCTAGCACAGAGGGCACAGGAGGTAAGTAACAAAGTAAAAGTAGAAACTGGAATGAATAAAACCTGGGATAACAAAAAAATAGGCAGAGTAGAGTGAAGGAGTTTTATTGATCATTGGGAGACATGTTTACATCCTGTTAGGAATACTGAACAAGATCAATCAAATTTAACTGAAATAAAACCGATATTTATTACAGAGCAGGATATCTATGAAATCCAACATGATCTGATACAATAACTCTGAAATCAAAGCTACATTTATGAAGCTTATGTTCTTTTGATCTTCAATTCAATGGTAACATTTCAAGCTGTAGTTGATTGTAATGCTATAGTACATTTTTTAATTAATCAAGATCAGAACTTTAAAAAAAAACCAAAACAAATGCTGTTCCATGTGGAAGATTTCTTCTTCATGGTGTGACTTTACTCTTTAGCCACTGAAGCCATGCTCTTTGTAGCCGGCCTCAAGGTCACCAATGATAATGGGGAAAATGTTGTTCAGGGCGTGCTGCCCAGCTGCGTCAAGTATGCCTTTCTCACCCAAGACTTTAACAATGACGTCACCAATAAGCTGAAGAGAAAATTATACAAACTGCTTTAAATTCAAGTTATATAAAATAAGATGCAAGTTACTAATATATCAAAGTCAAAGTGTTTATTTGTCATATGCACAGTTAGGAAACATGTTTCCCTGTACAATGAAATTCTTACTTTGCCGTATATGAGGAAGAATCAAAGGAAGATATTAAAAAATCTCACCCTGAAGTTGTTGATAGGGATCTTGTGCTTAGTGGCGTGACTCTGGGCCAGAGGTTTGATGATGGCACCGTGGCTGCCTTTGGCCTTCAACAGTTCACTAAGTTTCTTCAGCACAATGGCACCGTGGGCAGAAATAGCTGCGTTACCAGCCAGATCACCGTGAGCAATCCCAGCAAACTTAGGGAACAGCTTCTGGGTTTCTGGGTGCTCTGTGAATAAACTGTTAAAAAAAAAAAAAAACATGAGCGGATTCACCAGAAATAAGATGCCACCAGGAGACAGGGTTTCTTCACCTGATTTTTATTACTGGCTGTGAAACTGCCCATAAACCTTAGAGAAAAAATAACAGAACACTGACATGAATAAATAAAGTCCACATAATTAAAAGCAGAATTGCATTAGGTGTGGACCCTGGCTACCACCCTGCAAACCTCCTGGGCTACAGAAATGACTCATCTTATCTTTCAGAGTAACTGACCGGACCAGAACAAGGCCCCCATATTTGGCAGGGTCTGCATCCACTGGACCCCAGTTCTTCAAAACAGCATCATAGTCAGCCATGATCTGAGGAGGGAGAAGAGATAAAGGGGTCAAAAAAGCCTTACAGAAGGGTGATTTGACAAATAATATAAAAAGTTCTGAGTGCCAAAAGAAAGTCAGAGGGAAAGAAAGAGAAATCTTCTCATCATGTAACGTTTATGTGACTTACACAAACAGTCTTATCCGATTATTTCACTACAGTTGAGGGAAACTTCCGTCATTTGCCCTCTCTGAGTCTGTAATGTGACCTCAGTGTAGCCCTGCATAATGTATGCGAAGTGAAACCAGATACAACTCTTAAAGCTGGCACTCAAATAGAGAGAAGGGAAAGTGAACAATAGATACGTTTACCTTCAAGGACAATTACACTGGCCTACAATTAAGAAAAACTTTTCTGCTTCCAAATTAAAATGTCCTAATGTTTATGGGTTTTGAGGTGCTGAAATTAAATGCAGCCTTTAAAAGAGCCGATTGGCTAAAGGTGTTTCTCTTTTTAGTTTGCCATTGAAGTTGTATGGTGGCGTGCAAAACCCAATGGCAAAACGTGACTGACAAGAAAGATAAAGGCGCTCTGTGACTCCAGGAGAGAAAATGGGCTGCTGTATATAACAAAGAGCCTAATGTCTGGGCTTGAGGTATTAACATAAAAAGCGCCTTAGATGAACAAACAATGTGTGGCTTGTACTGCCTGAGACATAATACCAGCCTAATGCTTCAACTAAGAAGCTTGCTGCAAAAGCACATCGTTTTGTCATTTTGTCAAGAGTTTTGCTTCTAATTTCTGGTTTTGCTCAGAAATATTTCTTTTTGGAATTTGACAAAGTTTGCCATTTTAAACCAAAATGCATACACTGAATCTTACAAACCAGAGGCAATCAACGATTTTAGATATTTTTGTTTTCAGTGACCCAGAATTAGCAAAGATTGATGTTGTTTCTGAGGCATTTTGGTTCTAAACCACTATTTTCTACACTTTAATCTCCTAGTATAGCTTTTGTAGTAGCAGTGGATGGCGTGTTTTCATTCACTGACATTATAAAATGGCTATATTACTTTAAATTTCATGAAAAAAAAATTCTTTACAATTTCTCTGCATGCCAAATAGCCAAAACAGGGTGAAGTGTGTTTTTTTATTCTGATTTCCCTAACATTGCATTACTCCATTACTAATTTTACATTTTAATTCTGCATTAATCAACACGTTATGATTTGTCAGTATTCACTAAATCAAGACATTTTACCAATAAATGGAAATTATTCAAAGATTAAATCATGAAACTACTAAGAGAGCACCTACCTGCAAAGTAGTAAGATATCCTGGGTGACGATACCAGTTCTTCTGGGCCTGAATTAACCCCTCCCCACAAAGTGGACCTTTTATACACCCTCTCTCTGTCCTGTGACCAAATTATTCCAGCCCTCCCACCCATCTACCTCTCTCACTGCACGTCTTTCAAAGTGTTCTCAATACCTCTAAGCTTAATCTGGAAACTTTTGATTCCACACAAACGGCGTCTTTGTTGTGATTATATGCAATACATAACAAAAGAACACTTGATTCACTAACCCACTAGACTCACGGGACAGTGATTTTAAACTAGGTCAGGTGGAGTGTTGTTAGATCCAGCATGATGTGGTGTTTCTATACTGCCTATACTTAGACCTAGCAAAAACTAATCCAGCAGATTTTTGGCCCTGTAGTAAATCCTCCTTTGGCAAAGGTTGTAGAATTCAGTTTTTATTGAAACTATTTCAAAAAGCTAGCAGGTGTCCAGTTTCTTTGCAGGACACACACATGTTGTTTTGATTATAAGTATCATACATAATAAATATAATACAATCATTCAACCATCTGCTTCTGTAAGCAACTAGACTGGTGCACTGTAAAAATAATATTCTCGTAAGGCTGTGTGAAAATTTCCATTTAGGAAAATCTATCAACAGTTACACTATTTTTAAATAGGACTAATACCCCAAAGAATTAAAATTTCACACATATTTGAGAAAAGTCTGACAAATTAATACAGATTACTTTTTTTTCAGAATTGAACCTTTTTTTTGGTTCCTCCCCCATGAATCATCTCACAGCCTTCAAATGTATTTGGTGACCATTAGGTGGGGCCGACCCCACAGTACAGCACTAAACTACCAACAAGTACAATAGATAAAGTAATTGGGTTATGGTTAATAAGTGGATGCACATTTGTACATACTACACATTGTCTTTAATCAACAGGGAAATTGTTTATACAGTAGATTTAGATGTAATCATTTATGTGTCAAGGGTTTTAAATGTGTGTTCCCCTCTACATTTTGTCTGAGGTGACTGTATTAATTATTAACACGACAAGGTGAACCCTTATCTAAAGCCTATATTTATGGTGTAATACATTGACTGCATATTAACACACAATGTGACATATCACATAAAAGTATTTGTTCATGATTTTGTATAGTATTTTTTCTATGTTTTAACAGTAACAGTAAACGAATAAAGGTGACAGTGTCCCTGGGTGAGATCCACAGGGTTGACATTTTTGGAAAACGATAAACACGGGTTGGTTTGGCTGCATATGCTGCATGTTATTCTCAAAATAACCACTAGGGGCACTACCATGTAACCTCTAGGAACCAGTAGTCCCTTTTATGATTCTCATGTCTAAGCGCAGCACATAGCTAGATAACTGAAACAAATTTAGAACACAGGCACAGGACCCAAGGATTTAAGAAGTACCACAGTGAGGGAGGAGGCTTTAACAACAGGTCACTGAATGCATGTGTTAACAGAACAGTACATTATTTGTTTGTTTAATCATAACCACTTTGATGGACATTTTTCACCCTGTTAAGCTAGCTAATGTAGCTAGTTTAACAGTTAGTTAACGATTAGTTGTTAGCTAGATAACTGTTAGGATAATAATCAGGATAATCACCTTTATTTGGCCAAGTATGTTACACACACAAGGAATTTGTTTCTGGTACAGAACCAAGGCAGCCATCTGTGGCACCAACTCACACTGATGGCTCTAACCATTGGGGGCAACTTGAGGGTTTGGTGTCTTGCCCAAGGACACGTCGACATGTGGACTGCAGGCACTGTGTTTCAAACCTCCAACCCTCTGGGTGGGAGATGACCGCTCTACCCACTGAACCACAGTCGCCCCACAACATGTTGTTCTCAGAGTAACCACTAGTGGAACTACAGTTGTCGTAGCTTATCCCAAGTGTGTCCTGTTTGTACTGTGAGCCGCCAAGGGCTGATGAATCTTTCAGGATGTATCATGGTAAAAAATTGGACCCAAATGTTACCAGCCCAGGTAGCACTAAGGGAAGGGACTAACATTTGAAATAACCGGATGCAATGGCTTCATGCCAGGTGTTTATTTATAGAACTATTAGTGACATACAGTGGTAAATAAGGCTACACAAATGCCAACTATTTACAACTATTTGCAAAGGAAAAAAGAAAACCAGATAATTTGAACAAAATAAAGAAAATGAACAAAACAAGCAACTAAATCAAACTAAACTTATCAAACAAATCAAAAAGTTATGAGCGCTCCAAGCAACCACTGACGTTAATGAGTGAAACTTGACATCAGACTTCAAGGTGTAACACATTGCAAACACAAACAAAAAGGAAGAGTAAGGCACAGCTCTAGAAGGAGTCCATCAAACGTGCTACTAAAGCCCCAGCTGATAATGAATGTACCGGCCCGTGCCTAAGGTAAGTAGCAGTACAAAACCTCCAAACAGGCAACTGATTGAAGTCTTGTCAAACCAAAATGGGATAACTCCCAAACAATCACCCAGTGGTGGAAGAAGTACTCAGATCTTTTACTTAAGTAAAATTAGCAATACAACAAAGGTCAAAGTGTTTATTTGTCATATGCACAGTTAGGAAACGTGTTTTCCTGTACAATGAAATTCTTACTTTGCCGTCCACATGAATGCCACAAAATACAAGTGAAATATAAAGTAGATGAGCAATAATACAAATCTAAGGCACTTTAAAGCAGCAGGTGAAGGAAGTAAATAAAAATACAACAGGAACATAACACAAAAAAATGTAAAAAGACTCTGTTACAAGTAAAAGACCTGCATTCAAAATGCTATTTTAGTAAAAGTACAAAAGTATTAGCCTCAAAACATTCTTAAAGTACTGAAAGTAGTCATCATGCAAAATGACACATTTTACATTCCTTTATATTTTATTATTGTCTTATAATTACTGATGCATTATTGTGTACATCACATTTAATGTTGGTAAAGGGGGAGCTAGTTTTAACTAGTTTATATGCATTTAATTTGAATTAGCTTGTGAATTTTCCACCATAGATCAGTGAAGTCTTATAATCATACTGTATTTTTTTGTATGAAAGTAACTAGTAGCTAAAGTTATAAAATAAATGTAATACAGTAAAAAGTACAATATTTACCTCTAAAATGTAGTGAAGTCAAAGTATGAAGTAACAGAAAATGAAAATACTCAAGTAAAGTACAGATACCTCAAAACAGTACTTAGGTACAGTACTTGAGTACATGTACTTAGTTACTTTCCACCACTGCAATCAACATACTAACCAGAGCTGGCTAACACAGAATTCACAAAGCTGCAGGGACAGCTGTCTTTCTCCTATGACAGCTGCATGATGAATGATGAACTGGCTACCTTTATCACAGTTCGACACGTAGGGGCCAATCCCCTTGAAGCAGAGATTTCCTTCATAGCCCAATCACATCCACTGAGGGGTGGGACATGTTGTGCCACACCACACACCCACAGAACTCCGCATCCCCCCTGCATTTCGAGCAGAAGAACACACACACAAGCAGCGCTGCACAACACAGTACTAACCCCAGTGCAGCTGTAACAAACAGCCCATTCTATAATATAATCCCCAACTTAAAACCTCTAGGGCCGTAACACCACATATTAGTGCTACAGCTAACAACTCAACACAGTGTTGATTAAGCTACTGATTGTTTGTGCAAATAAAGGAGCCGTTTGACACTTTGGGAAATATACATTCTTTAGAGTCAAGACTTAAATGTTGGAATATATTCAGTTAATCATCTTTCCTTAGTGAATCGCTCACATCTTTTGTCTTGTATCCAGACTAAGGTCAGACCACAGCTGCCCAACCTTTACTTGAGCATGAGCTGCTTCTCAGAGCAAAACATTTTCATGTGACAACACTGTTGCAAAAGGAACTGATTATCTCCAACTTGTGGGAAGAGGAATCTGATAACATCCTACCCCATAATTTTGCATGACTGAGGAAAAAAACAGCTGACTCTTGCTCTCACTGAGGTGCTATCACTTAATCAGCCTAACTTTTAGGTATGACTGAAAATGTGGCTGAACTTTCTGTAAGCAACAGAAAATTTTGGCAGTTTTCCGACATGTCCTCAGTGGCAGTTGCAGAAATCCAAGCCAAATGAGCACTGGGAGAACAAAGGTCTGCGTCTGTATGAGTGTGCACTGATGGAGAATGTATGCAACGGCCTGTGGCAGTAATCTGAGGAGTCATGGGATCGTTTTGGGGGTTGTATTTCAGGGGACTGGAAAATCAAAGCTTCTATTCTTAAAATATATTTTGTTCATTTTCGAGGCTTTTCCTTGAAATCTTTGTGTCACTGTGTGGGACAAAAGACCCGTCAGCTGAGTTGATAAATTTTCTCACTCCTGTCATGAAGCCAGCAATTGGGCAAAGGCAGGCAGGGTACACCTTGGACAGGTCGCCAGTCCATTGCAGGGCCAACACGCAGAGCAACAACCACTCACAGGCACACATTCACTCCTACCGCCAATTTAGAGACACCAATCAACCTAAGCTGCATGTCTTTGGACTGTGGGAGGAAGCCGGAGTACCTGGAGAGAACCCACGCAAGCACAGGGAGAACATGCAAACTCCACACAGAAAGGTTGCGAACCCACAACCTGCTTGCTGTGAGGCAACAGCGCTAACCACCATGCCACCCTCTTGTTGTTTGTAATATGCATATTATCTGTTCCCTTTGTGACATTCTTGTCACATGAAAATATTCTTTTCTGAGAAACAGCTTATACTCCAGTAAAGCTTGAGCAGCTGTCATCTGACCTTAGTCTGGATATCAGACTAAAGAGATGAGCAGTTCATTAAGGTAATGTGATGACAATCTAAATTAATTGAATATATTTCAGCATTTAAGTCTTGACTAGAAAGCATGTATATTTGCCAAAGTGTCAAACTATTCCTGTATTTGCATAAACAGTCTATAACAGCTTATACTGTAAGCTCAGATAAGTTTAATTGACTTTAGATTTTCAGGAAGTCGGTTACCTAAAACAATTAAGCAATGTATAATGAAAACCTCTGTGAATTAAACTTAAAAACTAGGCTACAATTATTTTAAGTTCAATACATTATACTATATATATATGTACAATGTACAGTATATACATATATACAGTATATATATATATATATATATATATATGTATTACACAGTACTATTAAACTGTATATTTATGTGTGCGCGCGCATGTGTGTGTGAGTGTGCCGTGATTGGCCCAGACTGTATCTCTGTATGTCTGTTTATCCAATAGCATCGTCAGCTCCTATCATGTGGTTTTAAAGTAACCGGAAATCAACAGTGAATGTTTAAGCGGCTGTAAAATCATTTTAGGTTGAGGTTTCTTTTTTGCTGTCAAAGTATTGTTTTAATTTTATATATTTTAACCAAATGAATTACTTAGCAGCGGTCTCCAAAACGATGCAATCTTTGAAAGGGTTGAGATACCTGAAATCCAGTACAACGAAACAAGCAGGTAATTATGTGTTTTTGTTCATATAACCTGTGTGTAACGTAAGACATTTGGCTTTGGATATTGAGACATTCAACGAGGCTGTCCTCAATAATCTTTAAGAGACGTTATTGATGGTCATCAGTTTTGTTGTGCGTTAGATAAGAAATTATGTTTATGCGGGAAAATAGCTAACATTGGCTGGTAGTTAGGGACCGTGGCTAGCCGCACATGCAGTGTGGCTAAAAGGAACCATCAGCTAGCCAGTTACCCTGTGGTCCGTGGTTCACCCAGGCCTTTCCAAGCAACTACGCTTAAACACTCTCTCTGGAACAGTGCCCTAAAATAACTGTAATGGGCCCCGGTGCAATTTTTTTCATGCCCTACCCCCGTCCCATCTGAAGGGCATGGTATCTGCTGGACTCTCTGCAGTTTGCCTACTGGGCAAACAGGTCAGTGGATGACTCAGCCAGCATGGCACTGCATTACATCCTGCAATACTTGAACTCCTCAGGGACCTATGCATGGGTCCTCTTTGTGGATTTCAGTTCAGTGTTCAACACCATCATCCCGGGCATCCTTCACTCTAAACTGACCCAGCTCACTGTGCCTGCCCCCACCTCTCAGTGGATCACCAGCTTTGTGACAGACAGGAAGCAGCAGGTGAGGCTGGAGAAAACCACATCCAGCACCTGAACTATCCGCATAGGTGCTCCAAGGATGTGTGTTCTTCCTGCTGCTGTTTTCCCTCTATACAAACAACTGCACCTTAGAGGACCCCTTCTGTAAAGATCCTGAATTTCGCAGGCAACACAGTGGTCATCGGTCTCATCTAAGACAGTGGGAGGTTGAGCAGCTGGCCCTGGTGTGTGGTCACCACCACCACCACCATACTTGGCAGCACTGTATCAGCAGTCAAGTCCTTTAAGTTCCTGGGCTCCTCTATCTCTCAGGACCTGAAGTGGACACATCCAACATCAGCACCACCGCCAAGAAGGCACAACAGAGGATGTACTTACTGCGCCAGCTCAGGAAGTTCAACCTGGCCCAGGAGTTGCTTGATACAGTTTTATAGAGAAATCATCGAGTCTGTTCTCTGCTCATCCATCTCATCTCATTGCACTAGTGTTCCATAAGCTTAATGTACATTATCCATTACTTATAATTTGAATCCATAGTCTGTTGTATATCGTACATCACTCTACATATCTTACTGTAAATATCAGTTGTACATATCTATCGGTAAATTATTTCTTACTGTACACACTGTAGATACTGCACACTCTGCACTGCTGTCGTTGCACTTCTGGTTAGATGCTAAACTGCGTTTCATTGCCTTGCACTTATACATGGGTAATGACAATAAAGTTGAATCTAATTTAATATTTTATAAATACTTATTTCTTTTTTTCATCTTCTTTCCTAAACACACATTCCTTCTTTTTTGTTTCCTCATTGCCTTATGAAGTAAATTGTACTTGCACACTGAGACTCCATTTACTGTACACTTGGTTTTAAGATGCACCTTACTTAATGTGTCCTAGGTGATCGGTTCATCATTGAACAGTGCAAAATACAAGTTTAAATGACCACCAAGACGGATTGTGAGCCGATCACTGAAACCACTTGCCGAGGTAGTTTGACTCATTTGACCAGATATTGTATGTAGTATTAAACAGTAATGACTTCTGATGCGGCTCCAATAAGGCTGTTCGAGGAAAATACATCATCAATGCAGGACATGATGGTTGTTTTGGTGAGAGCGTGCCGGCGTTCAAAAAAAGAAAAAATGCAGCGAAATGGCCTATACCAATTCATCATTGTATTATGAAAGCTTTCAGTAGCAAAATGTGAGTACAAGTGGTCAGATGGGCACCTTGGAGATGAATGTATACTGACATGTATAAACCGTGATGTGTCCACTAAAACAAGTCTATATGGGGCCAGAGAGACACTAGACTGCAGTCATATTCTTCTTGTGTCCAACATACTTGGCCAATAAAGCTTATTCTAATTTTGATTCTGTATCAAATGTAGATACTTCTCAGTTCTAAGTTCTTCTCAATGACTCAGTTTTTGTTATTACAGTTACAGTAGTGTTGCTGTGAAGTACTTCTAAGTTCTTCTCAGTGACTCATTTTTTGTTATTACAGTTACAGTAGTGTTGCCCCCAGATGACGCAATAGAATCTAACCTCAAAGGAGGCTACAGCCTTAAATGAGTATTTCTGTCCAGTTTCAGAGCTCTCTGTTCCAGTACCATGGGGAGAGATCAGAGGTAAAATCTGGGGTCCTGACCATGGTCACCCTGTTCTGTGCCTGCACGGCTGGTCCGATAACTGTGGGACATTCAACACCCTCATCCCCCTGCTGCCCAAAGGTAACTGATGTTGTTGTGGTAAACTTTAGAATACAAAACACAACACTGCTCTCCTTTTTTTTGACTTTTCATACTTATGCTCTTATGCTTTTTCACAAGCATACTTTCTCTTAAAAATAATAAAGCTATAGCCGCAGGTTAGACTTGCTGGGTAGTACTGTTTTGAACGAGGGATGCCGTTTTACATGTCTCTTGTGCCTTTACCTCTTTCTGATTTTTACAAGTCTGTCCAGCAGGTTTATAGTGGTTGACTAATCACATGAAATCCTGTGTGTGTGTGTGTGTGTGTGTGTGTCCATCCATGCATTATCTATACCGCTTATCGTAACGGAGGGTGGCTGGAGACTATCCCAGCTGACAATGGGCGAGAAGCGGGGTACACCCTGGACCAGTCGCCAGTCTATCACAAGATTGACACTTGGAGACAGACAACCTGTGTGTGTGTGTGTGTGTGTGTGTGTGTGTGTGTGTGTGTGTGTGTGTGTATAGGGGGGCAAATAAGTACTTGATACACCGTCAATTTTTCGAGTTTTCCCTCTTCCAAAGAATGGACAGTTCTGTAATATTCATCGTAGGTACACCTCAACTATGAGAGACAGAATCTACAAAAAAATTCCAGAAAATCACATTGTTAGATTTTTAAATAATTTATTTCCATTTTATTGCATGAAATAAGTATTTGATACAATAGGGAAATAGAACTTAATATTGTTTGTTCTCATCCTTCTTCCTCCTTCTTCCTCCAAACACGGCGAGTGGAGTTTATACCAAAAAGTTCTATTTTAGTCTCATCTGACCACATGACCTTCTCCCATGCCTCCTCTCGATCATCCAGATGGTCTTTGGCAAACTTCTGATGGGCCTGGACATGTGATGACTTGAGCAGAGGGACTTTGTGTGCGCTGCAGGCTTTTAAGCCATGACGGTGTAGTGTGTTACTAATGGTAACTGCTGAGACTGTGGTCCCAGCTCTCTTCAGGTCATTGACCAGGTCCTCCCGTGTAGTTCTAGGCTGATCCCTCACCTTTCTCAGGATCATTGATACTCCACGAGGCGAGATCTTGCATGGAGCCCCAGTCCGAGGGAGATTGACAGTCATCTTGAATTTCTTCCATTTTCTAATAATTGCACCAACAGTCGTTGCCTTCTCATCAAGCTGTTTGCCTATTGTCCTGTAGCCCATCCCAGCCTTGTGCAGGTCTACAGTTTTGTCCCTAGTGTCCTTAGACAGCTCTTTGGTCTTGCCCATAGTGGACAAGTTGGAGTCTGATAGATTTAGTGTGTGGACAGGTGTCTTTTATACAGGTAACGAGTTCAAACAGGTGCAATTAACACAATGAGTGGAGGATAGGAGGACTTCTTAAAGACAAACTAACAGCTCTGTGAGAGCCAGAATTCTTGCTGGTTGGTAGGTGATTAAATACTTATTTCATGCAATAAAATGGAAATAAATTATTTAAAAATCTAACAATGTGATTTACTGGAATTTTTTTTGTAGATTCTGTTTCTCACAGTTGAGGTGTACCTACGATGAAAATTACAGAACTGTCCATTCTCTGTAAGTGGGAAAACGTGGAAAGTCGGCAGTGTATCAAATACTTATTTGTCCCACTGTACACACACACACACACAGGTTGTCTTTCTCTAAGTGTTAATCCTTTGATAGACTGGCGACCGGTATAACATAAATTATGTGTGTTTTTTACTTTTATTTCTCCAGGGTAGATCCACTGAGAGGCCACTTCTCTTTTTCATCCTCTTCACAAGCACAGTTAAACACCCACACTGAAAGATGTGCAGTACAACCACAGACTGACCTGTGGCCACTGAGCAGCTGTTGCTGGAGCTGTTTGGGGTTAAGAGCAAGCTTTGTCACCTGACCCACCCAGATTTAATCCTGCTTGTCTGGGGATTGAACTGGCACCTTCTAGTCACAAGCTTCTCTAACCTTTAGGCCATCGCTGCTATGTTGGTATTAATATTTGCCTTACAAAAAGCAATTGTCTTGCGATTTTGTCCCCACCCCCACACACACATTTCCTGTCTCCCTCTCAGAGATTTACTTTCAGTTAAAGCTACAGTACCTAACTTAAAGTAACACTAGCATGAGACTCCAAACCAACCCACTCCTCCCAGTGCTCCCCTCCCTGCTCCTCTGTGCTCTACTATGATCCACCACGCTCTGTGCAGCTCTTCAGATATTTGTCATTAAGAAATTACAATAAATGAGAATACAACAAAACTTAGTGATTAAGCAGAAATAATTAAAAATTTGATTGGTTATAGAGGTCAGTCCTGCTCAAAACCTTTTAGAAGCTAATATCTCTGCACTGCTGCCAGTGATGTTCAATGAATCAGGGTCCCAGGAGGCTTCGACAGCACCTCTCCACATTACGTTTTGGAGCAGATTTCTACAACATTTGAAAAAAGTTATTTACTGTAGCTCTAAGGCAAAATGCCTAGAAAATAATCTTAAAAGAGAAAAGATATAAAAGCAGCTCCCTAGTGTGATCCTCGGTATGGACAATCTTCCCTCCGATATCGCTTTTGTCAAAACATTGTCCTGGCAATGTGGCAGAGAGTCACTTGGTGTGACCATCCTGTTTGTCTTTCTGTCAGAGTGCAGGTATGTGGCGGTGGACCTGGCAGGTCATGGCCAGTCATCCCATCGTCCCCCTGGGGATTTCTACCAGTTTCCATTATATGTGATGGATGTGCTCAGAGTCGTTGATGGTGAGTTTAAGAAGATCCAGGACATGTTTTTCCACCAATTCAAATGAATCACGAGTCTTTATTCAAGCAAAAGATGAGACTGCTCCAGGGATGGAGAAAGAGTTAGAAGCAAATGTTTGGGCAAATTACGTTTTGTTGATTTTTTTGAAGGGGCAAAAAGACACTCTTCAACTGTTCCTGCAGTTTTTGTTTTGATGATATGAACAAATTGTGTAATTGTCTTACAAACATTTGTTCATATTAATGATTGCGATCAAAATGTATCTATAAACTAATAATTTAGTTACTGATGTTTGTGTTTGATTGTTAAACAATCATAACTCTTCAATTTGTTAAAAAAAATCTAAATAGTCATAAATAAAGTAATTAAATGCATTTTATTTAAGAATGAAATCTCGCTCTGGAGCTTGAAAATAGCAGTTTGACAATTAAAAACATGTTAATATCACGAGCTCCTTCCAAAGCTTCATAACTAATATTAGAACTCCTTTCTTTTAAGATGGCTGCAGCGGAAATCTCCTGTTGAGGTTTTAAGTTAATATATTTGTGTCAAATCAAAGATTTTATATACATTTTTTAATCAATTTGCTATTACAACATGTTTTAATATACGAAAAGCTGTGAGTTAATATTACGCTATTGCTGTATCTATCACCCGACTCTGCATGGCAGTCAAGCCACAGCTGATATTGTCTTTGTTCTGTGATGAGATACTGAAGCTGGTTGATGATCTGTGAAATTAACTTCCACAGCGCTACAGTGGAGCAAGTTCTCCATCATAGGCCACAGCATGGGTGAGTGCAGCTACGCAGCAGAATAAGAACACTCGTGGTTGGTGGTGTGTTATGTTTATGTGTCCCGTTCCTTTTTTTAATTTCAGGTGGTAATGTTGCTGGACTGGTATGTGACAATATTATAGCTGTTTTCAAATAATACACAGACGCTGTTTTATTTTAATGTGTGGTGTCATCATCCTTATTGTGTTTTTCACAGTTCAGCGCTCTATATAATGAGATGGTGGATACTGTCGTACTTTTGGATTCCCTTGGATTTTACCCCACAGATCTGGTACATTGACAGTTTGTACACCCCAAACTACACTTCCCACAGGGCTGTAATTTGTTGTTTAGTTAAGGGTGAAGAGAAAGCTTTGAAGTTTCCATGTAATGCTAATAATGCAGAAAATATTTTCATTTATTTACAGCAGGGGTCTCAAACTGTGAGTCCACTAGACAATTACATAAGGCCTCCCACATGCTTGGGAGTTACTGTTATATCTGTGACCAAATCATTAGAGGTTGAGGAAATGGAAGCTGATCAGCTTCATGTAGTTTGAACGTATTGATGAAAAAACACACCAGAGTTTATTTTGTTCCCATGCGGGGTGTTGAAGCAGCCCCTTAGAGAACAAGCCTAGTGGCTCCCAGCTAGTTTGAGTTTGAGTTTGAGTTTACACTAAAATAACCTCCTAACAATGTCTGATTATTTCTAAGTGGTGAGTAAATAAATAAATAAATAATGAAAAATGAATTCAAATACATACATTTAAAAAAAATGTCACAGTTTTGTCTTATTTGTCACTGCTAACCACGTTACTCCTTTCCATAGTATCTGACATGGAGCTGTGCTCCGCAGGCGACTCGTGATCTATATCTCTTGTTTTATTCAGAAAGAAAAGGCACAAGATCTGAGGCAGGGTATGGACGAGATGCTTCAGTTTGAGAAAACGACAGCAGAGAAGAAAAGAGTTTACACTTATGAGACAGCAGTCGAAAGGTAACGACAGCAGAGAAGAAAAGAGTTTACACTTATGAGACAGCAGTCGAAAGGTATCGCACCTTTTTGTTGATGGTGTTTTAAAAAGACTACAAAGATCCACTCATTCTTCAAGCCTTTTATTGGTCTTTTAGGCTGAAGGCTGCAAACCCAACTCTGTCCAAGCGGTCTGTACACATCCTTTTGGAGCGAGGTCTGAATCAAGTTGAAGGAGGTACTTCTTTTTTTTTTCTTTTTTTTTTTTTTTCTTGCTTTTGTGTTTGTTATGGAAAAAATAACCCCTTGTTATTCCTCCTCTGCTGGAAATATGATGTCCTGTTTTCTTCCAGGAGTCGTCTTCACCCGAGACTTTCGCATTAATCTGGTGGGTTCATGCTGAACTGTCCAGCACATTATGCTACCTTTGTGTTTTCACCCACAGGTGCTGGATACAGCTCATAAACTGAATATGTTTTGTTTGATGTTTTTAGAAGAACATAGCACGCTTCAGCTTGGAGCAGTGTCTGGAGCTGCAGTCGAGAATAAAGGCCTCTATTCTCATTATTCTGTGAGATAATCCTGCCCCTTGTATTTCCTTATCACATTTACTAAACTCATTACAGTACTACTTTGTGCTGAGCTAAATCCCAACTTTGTCGTTCCAGAGCTGAAGGTGGCTACATGAAAACACTTTATGCGATGGATCAAAGAGAATCTGCATTTTCAGCACTTTGCCAGGCCTATAGGGACCAAAGTGTGAGTGCATTTTGACAGTGTAAAGTAGATGCCCTTGCATCTTTGTGTTTATTTTTAACTGTTAGGCCTGTGTGTGTTATTGTGCCGAGCAGACAGACAGCTGTAGTGATGCAAAAGTAACAGTGTAATAAGAGATCAGTGTCCCAGCAGAAGTTTTTATAGCAGTTATAGAACCTCAGCACTGGCCTACATACTTGAAGTGGGTCAAGTGCTGCTGATAGGAGAAAGAGAATAGGCAGCCAGGAATTGTCTCCAGTGATTATCTTGGTCCAAGTCAGCTGGCAGTAGCCTACAATGTTTCTGTACAACAAAAGATGATTTTTAAAACTGCTGTATTCAAAACGTCCATAAAAACCATGTCTAATGTGACAGTTATTTGATGAACCTACAAAGGACTATCACTTGAATCTGCAGCTCTCCTCGGCTTTACAAAGCTTTATAGAGAGTTTTAGCTCAACGTTCAGGTGTTCAGCTCACAAGTTTACATTTTAAATGCACTCTCAGCGCTCTCACAATCATCACTGTCTGCCTCCTTTGTTTCAGCACATGGTGGTGATGGTTCCAGGAGATCATCACGTCCATCTGAATAATCCTGAGGTCGTTGCTCCACTTGTGTCGGACTTCATGCAGTCAAGAGTGTTGTCACAGAAAGACAGACTAATAGATGAACAGACCTCGAAGTTATAACAGAGTTATAAAACAACAATTTTACCAGTGGGGTTGGTTGATATAGACTAAAAACTATAGAATGATATTTAACTATTTTTATGATAACAATATAAATGGCACTCAGCATAGTCCTAACAGCGGTGTAAACAGTTATTCACAAAGTGAAACTTCAGATTGCCATCATTAAAGGTGCAGTATGATCTAGAAGGATTGATTAACAGAAATGGGTTATAGTATGCGTAATTATGTTTTCATTAATGTGTAATCACCAGAGAATTGTTGCATTTTCTTTAGATTAGAATGAACCTTTTATATCTACATAGGAGTGGGTCTGCCATCACAGACTGCCATCTGGAGCCACTATGTTTTTTTTACAGCAGCCGAGAATGGACGAACCACACACTAGTGTGAATTTCACTTTTTCACACGAAAGTAGCAGCTTGGATCGGGAGATGTTTGGAAGACGATAAAAGAAGTAACGTTAGAAATGAGGAATCGGTGTCATGAGTTTAAGAACTATAACTTGTTAAATGGAGGATCTTAGTTCAACTTTAACACAAGAAAAAGGAAGATAGTGAATCATCCTTATCAAAGAAGCAAAGACAGAAATGGGAAGGTTTAATTTTTTTTTTTTTCTTGATGCAAGTTTATTTTTTTCTTTATCAACATAGAGAAAGGTATATACAGAACAAGTTAGGGGATACAAACAAACCACAGGGGAGAAGTCTATTCTTAACAAAACATTAAGGTTAGCATAACAACCCTTAAACAGTATTACTGCCACAAGCATGAAAGAAAAAAACAACATAAGAAACACCAGCTATGAAAACAAATGCATAGGTAGGGTAAGGAGCTCACACAAAAAAGCACAGCTGGAAACATCTAAAGAACAACAGTTGGGATATAGATGTATACAACTTATAAACCTTTCCGGTCATCCTTTCCAGGCATTTCGGTGACATATAATAGTTGGCAAAGTTATTAGTAAATACAGTGAAGGAGGGAGTATTACCATTCCACTTAACGAAAATGTACATGTATATGATAGTTACCCAGAAGTGTTCAACGTGGTTTTGTTGGAAGTTGCCGTTCGTTTTTAGCCGCGCTTTTTTTCTTAACATCTACGGTAAGAGTTGCTTGGAATGGCTAAGATGGATGTTTAAATCTGTTTGACTGTTTACTAATGGGCTTAACGATTAAAATAGTATTATTGCACTTATTAATATGTGTATGTATTCAGCCTTCTTGAAAATTATACTGCGGTCATTTTGGATTCAACCGGTTCTTTTATCTGAAGGCCCCAAGAAGTAACACTCAGGAAAGAGGAATCAGCTTTACGTAGATTTATTTTCTTCTGGTTAAATGCAGAGTTATTACAGCGCTGGGCTCTATGAGATGACAAGTCTCCAAGAGCCCTGATAATAGGAAATAATTCACATTTATCTTCTCGGGCTGGGACTGTCCTGTACATGAGTGGAAACTCATATTATCTTCTAATCTGTTGGCTCAACACTTACAACATGAACTGGACACAAGGTTCATGAAAATCTTCTAGAATGTTCGAATAAGCAGCGTGTGTGTGTGTGTGTTGGTATTTTCAGGCGTTTCTGAAAGTAGACATGCAGTTAGCATCTTATCTATAGTTTCCAGGATGACACTTATCTCTGCAATCAATTTATGCACATTTGACCAAGAAGACAAGAAATACTGTTAGTTGACTCAAAGCTGAATATTATGACTATGATGCATGCATAAGAGCTGGTTAATACTGATACATGGAGCTGTTAATGACACACAGACAAACAGTCATACTGAACTTTTCCATTATAAAAGCAAAATAATAATGATGATAAGTAGAAAAATAACTTTAACTCCTGAAATCCAATCCTAACAGTCAATTGAGCCGTCATTAGCTTTTGCTTGGTCAAGTTAGCCGCGCTTGTTTTTTGAGTGTGCAATCTGTCAGAGGTGGGACCAAGTCATTGTTTTGCAAGTCATAAGTCAGTCTCAAGTCGTTGTCTCCAAGTCCCAAGTCAAGACTGGCAAGTCCCAAGTTGAGTCCCAAGTCAAGACTGGCAAGTCCCAAGTCGAGTCCAAAGTCAAGACTGGCGAGTCCCAAGTCGAGTCCAAAGTCCTAAACTTTGAATTTCGAGTCCTTTTAACCACAGGGTAATAATATGACAGATCATGTATACATCTAAATTCTGCATTTATTTATCAAAAGACATTTGATGAAACAAACAAAACTTACAAAACTAGTGCTAATACTGTAAATCTATATTGCACTAGTAACCAATTCCATATAACATATTTGGAGGAAGATTGTTCCTGAACTTATTACTTCACAGAATAAATTAAAGGTGCAAAAGTATAACTGAAAATATTTGCACAAAAAGTGCTGGCATGTGTAGTTCAACCACTGAAAACCACAACAATGAAGGTGGCGCCATTTAATTTCTATAACACTATAATGAGTACCATAGTACCAAGTTTCTGTCCTGTCTTGTCCCCTGCTCATCTCATGTTGTGTGTGTGTGTGAGAGTGTGTGAGAGAGAGAGAGAGAGAGAGAGAGAGAGAGAGAGAGAGAGAGAGAGAGAGAGAGAGAAACATAAGTACATAAGCCCTACATGGATGTCCAGAAATTGTGAGATTGAAGGCTGTTCTGGTTCATTTGTGATGCTTTTGTTCATCTGGTATTCTTCAAATCTGTAAGATGTAATCATATTAGCACATGTCAGAAAATTCCATGTAGTTAAACATGAATTGCATTTAGCAAATTATGCTATGTTGCCCATGTTAATACATAAATTGTAATATTGAGCATTTCTATTAATACTGTGTGCGTGCGTGTTATTACTAATATAATTTATTTCAGGAGCAGCATCAAAGTTACACTAGTCCTCACCATGCGTCAGTGACAGATAGTGAGCTAATAGACGACTTGTTGATTATAAATCTTGGATGAGTTGACTACTGGACTCAATACATACAAACTGGATGGCATGCCATGAGCGTGGCTGTAGCACGTTTCCTGATACGCTAAAGTTAGCTTAGCATTAGCTCGTGCGCTCTACTTACCCTTCTTTGTGCAACTTCAAATGTCGAATGAAGTTGGCAGTTGTTGCGTCTCGGTCCGTAATCTTCGACCCACATGTTCTGCATACTGCAATTCGTTTTTTTGTTGACCACTTCATAGTTTTTGTACCCGAATGAAATTATCTTTAGTACCATAGTTGCAGAGTGCTGCTTTGTTTACCTTCCTGGATTCATTTGATTGGCTAATGTGCTGACAGGTCACACATACATACACACAGGTGCAGAGAGAGAGGGGGAGGAGTGAAATGAATGGATTAGTGCACGCATTTAAAAATGTTTTAATATTTGGGTTTGTATCAAGTCTTTTCAAGTCAAAGGGCTCAAGTCCGAGTGAAGTCACAAGTCATTGGTGTTAAAGTCCAAGTCGAGTTGCAAGTCTTTTTACATTTTTTCAAGTCGAGTCTAAAGTCATCAAATTAATGACTCGAGTCCGACTCGAGTCCAAGTCATGTGACTCGAGTCCACACCTCTGCAATCTGTCATACATTTACAGTAATCACTGCTAACCAGCTGTAAGGGCTGTTAAACACGATTAAAGCCGAACGCTGCAATCTGCAACCTCACCACTAGATGTCATTAAATCTCATACTGCACCCTTAATTACTGAACTGTTCCAGTTAAGTAGGCTGTAAAAAATAGAATAATTTATTCCCAAAACTCTGCTTGCCAACAGTTTGGATTGGCATAATGTCTTTGGGCAAAATGGCCCCTCCTTTGTCAGTTTGTTCTAGCTTTTATTTCTTTTATCATTGGAAAACATGCTGATAATACCTTCAGAATTTAAGGAGTTTTGTTGTGCCGTGTTCTCCTCATGCAACTTCTGGCCTTCCTCCTATTTTGGCCAGTGTTTTAGGTGGAGGTGGTGGAACAAATTCAATTTGTCTCCACCCTTTTTACAGCCTTCTGACATAACTTGCAAATCCTGTATGTTTGATTTACATCTGAACTCTTGTAGTTGAACCACTTCCAAAGGACAGAGAAAGACGTTTTGGGGGAGTTGGACTGGGAGTAAAATCTTACTTGGACTCTTCCGCCTTTCGTCGTTGTTGTTCTGTTTGTACTGTAGGTCCCTGTGAGATGGCATGCCATGGCACGTATACTACCGTCATCACACTTATCAGTCATTATTGCTATATAACAAATTCGTTAACCTGGGGAAGCATAATACTGGTCTTTTGTAGACTGTAGGATATGGCACAGCCATGCGTTCCAGCTCACAGTGACACCCACAGTTTGTTACACTGCTGATTTTAATAAATGTTTTTGAAAAAAAAATGTTTCATGGACTGTTTATGCTTTGATTGCACTGACCTTTGCACTTTTCCATCAATCAGCTGGCTGCTGTAAGTTACTTTTGGTGGGCTTGTGAATTATTTAAAGTATTGAGTATTGATGTGTATTGTTGTTCTGAGTGACAGTGACATTTGAGGCAGTCTGAGTTTATTTTGCATATGGTTTGTATTTTATCAAGTGAAAAGACAGAATTCACAACCATGTTGTGTCAGGTCAGTGAGTTCATACAGTCTCTACTGGTCAGATGTTCTCCTGTACTGTAATGTGGTCCTGGGCAGAGGCCAACATCGGGCTACACTTTGAAACCAACAATGAAAAATAATACTTAAACACACATTTAGCTAATGAGGACAAGTTAAGAGAAAATTTGTTTTAAAAATGCCATAGTGTTTCACAGAGAAAAATAGAAGATTAGATTGTTGTTAACACTAAGCCTTCACCTGATGCCACAAGCGATGCTGCTAAAAACTGGCCAGAATTAGTTGCTTGTCTGAAAAACAGCTTCTGCCATGCTTAGACTAAAGCACTGAAGTTTGTGCAGCAACAATGTGCAGGCTGGTAGGTTGAAGAGATGACCGACTGTTTCCACTCAGGCCTCTGCAGGCTGCTGACCTCTTTATTTGGCTGGAACTCTTCCTGCTATCTGACACAGGCACCAGTTTTATCACCTTATACCTGCTGATGAGTGTTTGAAATGCACTGTGATGGATCAGATGCCTTAGAAGTCTGCTGCATGATAATATTTTAGCAGTTGCACCGTTTTTCTGAAGTCTGTCTTCATGTTTAGGCATGATAATATTTTAAAAGTTGCACAGTTTTTCTGAAGTCTGTCTTCATGTTTAATCTCAAGTTGGTAAGCAGTGGGAAGACAGGCTTGTGAGGATGAATTTGTACTTTCCTGTAGCATAACATGTCCTTTATGGCAGTATTTAAACTAAGCAGGCAAAGAATGGCTTTTATTTTGAAGGATTATCTTTGGACATCCATGAAACTACAATTCCTTAAACTTAAATTTTTTAGCAGTAATTAAATCTTCAGTAATAATTTTACTGTGTTACAAGTTATCAGATTCATTAGGGAACAACAGATGACAGTTAACTCAGGTTAGGAAAGAGATATATGGACCAAAATTGTACCATATGATAAGCGGTAAAGTCTGAGGTCCTGAACACTGCTGTCCTGTGCTCTGCCTGCATGGCTGGGCTCTTAACGGTGGGACATTCAACACCCTTATCCCGCTGCGGCCCAAAGGTAGGTCATTACATGCTTGAGGAGGGTCATGAGACTTCACTGGGTTGACCCTAAAAAGTTGGTAGATACAGAAGATTGATCAACAATTTCGATGAGTGATTAAACTTTTGCCATTTTTAAGTGGAAAAATGTGAAACATTACAGTTAGCTGTCACACTTGGTGTTTCATATCTTTGTAAATGTAATATTTTGAGGCTTTAGACTGCTGCTTGGACCAAACACGTTATTAAGATCGGTTTAGGCTCTGGAAAATTGTGCTGGCTATTTTTTTTCCCATTATTTTCTGATATTTTATAGAAAAACAATGAATGGATTAATCATAATAACTGACAGATTAAGCAGCAATGAAAATGATAATTAGTGCAGTTAATTGCTATTGTAATCAATACACATTTTCTTCTGCACTTATACTTGCAAGGAGGTGCACAGTTGTACAGTAGGGTGAACTAAAGGTTGAAGACAGTCTTTGAGATTTTTACTGGAAGCAGCTGTGAAAACAATGTTGGGCAACGAATTCAATGACAGTGACTATAAGGATGAAATTCTATAAGCAAGAGTTAGACCAATGGTTTTGTAAAAATGAGTTAGTAGAGTAACAACAAAACTGGATTCACAAAAATGGAACTTGCTATCAAATTTAGTCCCATTGTTAATCACACAAAGTTAAAGATCAACATT